TTCTAGATTAACATTCAGTAATGGTGGCGGTGGTGATGGCAGGTGATACAGAAACTGTCATTGAAATGATGTGACAATGTATACATGAACTTGAGAAAGCAAAAGAATTTATACTCGGTAGAAGTATTCTTGTTTTATCACAACGTCACGTGATCAAAATAAATTTATCCTTAGTTAAATTTCTTAGTAATTCTAAATGAATTTTTAACGATCTCTGGTGTTCATGGATTTGGTACGTGTACGAGAGTAGAAGCAACATAAATACAGAACACCAGTTCGAAAATATATTTTCTCTTGTCTTAGGTTTTGAGTATTTGTACCATGTCTTGTTCTGGACAGTTAGTCTAAATACCATCTCTCAAGATTTGTTCCAACTCAGAACAATATTTGTTCTCAAGAGATGGCACACGGCGCAAATAACCAAAACTCTTCTTTATTATCGAATAAATTGCTATAAAATGGCAGAAAGAGCTTAGGTCTATGTAGATGCATAGCAACCAGATGTCAAAATATTTCTTAAATTACTTTATTCAATATGTTGCACAATATATATCAACATTAATGTCATCCAAGAGAAAAGGATTCCATAGACGCCACTGCCACCTGAACTCGTGTGTGGAAGATGTCTACAGACTTGATAATATTTTACAGTTTCCAATGCACAGCATGTTACAAGAAGGACCTTTATCTATAGTGACTTATTTTAAACTTGTTTCGTTAACATTTTAGATCATAAACAATATTATAATATATGTATATACACTAACACAAGAGGCACAAAATGTTTTTGTTGTTAAAAGATGGCATTCCGTCTTTGTGACACTCTCAAAGCTTAAAAAATATTAGTTGACCATTTCAATGCCATTCACGAGATATCTCACTTAGAAAATCTCAACTCGTTAAAAATCTTTGATTCATTGGATATAGCAGGTTTACGTTACTGTATATCTAATCTTATAATCACTGATCATTGCAATGATTTTGACATCTTTAGTGATCATTTGCTAACTCTTAGGTATATCCTAAAGTAGATGGTATTGCTTCATTTATAAATCATATTATTTTTGGCTTTGTTTTAATTACTAATCTGTCAGTTTGCTAGTAACTTTCTTATTATTATATGATTATTGTATTTAGTTTATTTTTTGTGTTGTATCTGTAATATGCCGTCTGGCTGTTGATGCAGCACTCTAATAAAAATAATTGAATTGAATTTCTATTCGCGAGGACCTCTGTTCGAATCTCGGCTGGTCCAGCGTAAACTTATTCGTAATTTTCCTCAGTCTCTCCACGTTAACTGCGGTACATTCCCGTGGAGTATACCACATCGCTTCACTCTTAAAGATATCATTCATGGTCATCTTCCTATGTCTTTCGGCACTCTACAGCTGAAACAGCGTCATTGAAGAACACAACTAAGTATACTAGCAAATGTAATCAAAACCTGTTGATTAGTTTTGAATCACGGGGACTGTCAGACACAACACTGCGCGTAAAATGACGGTACTGATATTATTTTTGAATAGTTATCAAATAAATTACTTGTTTTATACAAAGCAGGGGCGTAGCCACAATGTAATCTTACACAAAAGAAATACTTGAAGAGAGAGTTTTATGACGATGAAAAAGCTTTGAGAGAAAGAATATAGAAGGGGAGTCATCTTATTTATAAAAAAAAAATGTAAATGGTCAGTATTAACATTCGTGTTCTTGTGAGTGGCCATTACCCTCATAATAAATTATTCTATGAAATTTACACATGAACATGCCTACTACTTACAGCATTTTTTCCTTTCCTCTTAACGTCCTGTTGTCCTCGTTATTTTACTGAAGAGTTGTGTGTATTAATTGCTCTTGGGATTTCTAATAAGAGTGAGGTAGAAATTAAAACTTTACAAAGGAACTGGGATACTTTACCTCCTTAGCTTCCGTGTTCTTTAAACAACCGAAAAAAGAAAAACAAGTGAGATGCACATGTTAGTTAGTTCAAGTGATTATACTCCGCTATTCAAAATGTCATAATAATTTCTAAATTATTCCATTATTACACACAGGCAGAAGGGATAATTTGTTGGCAATTCCAAATCACCGCAAATGAATGAAAATTACAGACCTAACAGTCTGTACGACAATTTTTAAAACAGAGAAAACATTTTTCTAAAAATAATGTGTTGAACCATTAGATTTTATGGGTTCCTCGAGAAGTTACGAAAATTGTAGACTATTGACTCTTACCTTCTTTCTTTTAAAGATAGGAAACACAAAAGTTATCACCTGCGGAGTAACCAAGTCGCCTTCCTAAACTAATCAGGTACTGGCAACCCTCCTGCACGTCACGCCCAAATGAATCCATAATAGAATCCGTTAAACAGGAATTTGGAACCGTTCCAACATTGAAACCTGAGGCGGAGTGCAGACGAAGTTTGAAGAATTCTTAGTCTCCACAGTATAAGGAGGTTACAGCTCGGCTTCAAGCTCCGACCGCTTTAATTCTGGAGACAAATTCTCCACTGCCATTTTTATCGGAGGCTACATGGATTATACCGTACTGGACGAGGTAGTACAGAGTAAATTTGCCACCACTCCCTCCCGAACCCTGGTCGACCACCCTCTAACCAGTTGCTTCACAGTCTGAGTTATCGGGACTCCAATTATCCTCAGTTTATAACTTTATTAAATGACGCTTTCTCATAATAGCCACATAAGTTACATTGAAACCGCAGCATCCCGAAAACAAATTGGCACCCAGACATTTCGAGGTAAGAATGGAGGCCGAAACTATGATCCTCTTTTGTCTACACTTGTTCTAAGAAAAGCTACCGTACCCTTATGAAACATCATTTACACCTAAATCCATGAAGTATATTGCCACATTATTATGTAGAAACAGTTGTAAAACACGGATAACTGCAATTACGGCCACCAGGATCGCTGCAGTCCATCACAAGAATGGCTTGTAATGTGAGGTGCTGGGAGATTCATGTGACACTAACGGGAGGCTCTTCGTTCTGGGAGAAGTAACAGGGACCGTAAATTGACCGGGATGTTGGAGGGTCAAACATACCAAGAGGCGGGTCAGGCCAGTTCAATGTCGCGGGCCAGCGAGAGTTCACTCAAGGGCACCTCCTGCCCCAGTCTCGCGGCGACTTCGTTCATTCTTTGTGTTCGTCTGTGACTGCCGTGCACAGGAAGGGAGGTGTTCGCTATATCATTCACGAGGTGAAAGATATGAGGAAAACGTTTAAGACTCGAAACAAGTTATTACGACTATAAGAGTGGTCCAATTTCTTTCGTCTCTCGGGTAAAGGACAATTTTAACGCCGGACCTAGGGGCCAAGAAACAATTCTTCGCATTATTTTTGAAAAATAATATCAGTTATCGTTGTCTTTAATAATACTTATTTATAAATGACAACATAATTTGTGCTGGATAGAAAGTTTATTGAATACGCGCAAATTACTACAAAGTTGCACATTTTAAAAATTTTGTTCTGTACCAGCTAGTGTCTGACATAATTCTTACGTGTAAACACGTTTTCAATTCCTTTGGAATAAACAAAATAAATTAGCTTCTAGTAACCAGTAACAAATTGTCAAATAATTTCGCGGGATTTGTTACAAGTGGTTTCGGCCCGGTTACGTCTCGCAAGCCACCGGTTGTACCACGCTGAATTACATACATTAAATTCTGTAGGTGGTAGTTTGTGGTGTGATAAAATACTCGTAATCATTTGACAATCTACAAGAACGTGGAGAACGAGAAATTACATTTGAAAAAAAAATGAATGTAGGACCGAAGCGATGTGTTTATTATTGACTCATCAAAGCAACGAAGCGACGCACTGAAATGACCCGATCTTTACGTGTGAACGGAATTTTAAAATTTTGTTCATAAAATTTCTAAATTTGAAACGTGAATCTACGTTTTCGTACACCAGACTTTATAATGGACTGCGGTATTTTATGTTAGCTGTAATATTAAGTGTAGGATGGTGTACGGGGGCCATGAACACTGATCGCTAATACGAAATGAAGTTCGGGTGTTCGAACATTGTTTTTCTCTGCTAGTGAAAAGTGCTGTTCGTATTATTAATATTTGACTGCAATTAGGAGGCAGATTTATAATATTAAAAATTCTTGCTTTTATCCTAGTACCTGATATATCAATGATACAGATGCACTTGTTATCAGTTCGTACCATGCACCGACAACATCATGCATGTCCACCCCCCCTCTCCTCCCCCTTCACCCCTGCTATATACATTCTAGTTTGCAAAACCTGTTCTGAAAGTTTGGAAAATATGTGTCCCCGGGGATTTATTAAAAATTACCAACATGCCATGCAACGCGTTGAAATCACAATAATGCGGTGCCCCTATGACGTCACTGCATTTTCTATCCCGCGAGTTTTCAATCCCCGCTCTCGAATATATACCAATGATTTTTGCATCATGTATTCATTTATTGATTGCACATACACACATATGGTAGGGAGGTTGAGTTTCCAATTCCTCTCTTTCACCCCTCTAAACTTCTGCATTTTTTTTCTACTACTAGTAAAATGAAAGCTAAAATTGCATTGTTTCAATTAATTAGTGGAAGTACAGAATGGGCACTGGATGCACGTACTTGTTTTTTTAATTCGAGGGTAAACCAATAGCAGAGCGCCAATGCAGTTCTGCAGAACACACACACACACACACAAAAATCTATCAATTATTTCACGTGCACTCAACATTATTATCGAAGCATAGGACCGCAGATAGTGGGAGGGGGTGAAAAGCGCAGGGCGAGGTTTTACAAAATGGATGTCACTAGCACAGCAGGGGCACCTGGCAACCAACTCCACCCCTCGCCCCTAAAAAAAAAAAATAAACAGGAGGGCGGGTACTGCACAAAAATTATGAAATATTCGCGCTGCGTTTCATCAAATAATGTTTTTTTTTTTAAAAAAAATCCTGTAGGTAGTAAGGTTTGTTTCAAAAGGGGAGGAGGTTAAAAAGTTGTATACCCTGCCCCATTCCTGCACACGCCTAACCGAACAGTACCCAAAACACCCGCTGTGGCGGCGGTATGGTCACTTAATGAGATATTTATCATCGATGGTAACGTTGACCGCAATGTGTGTGGCTTTTTCGGCTAAAATAAAATGATTAAGAGACGAATATGCTAAAAATATATTTTTGAGGCCTGCTTTTCCATCCCTTCCCTTTTCCTGTCCCCCCCCCCGCCCCCGCCACAAAATGCTGATCAAAATATTCGTGTCTGATAAATACTGCTGATTGCATGCATTGGTGCAAGCAGTTTTATTAAAAAACAAAATAAAACAAAACAATGCAGTTCCCTCGCAAATTGGAGAAGGTATAAAATTCGGTACGTAAAAATTATGTCATTATCAACGAAATTTCCATACAAATTGCTGCTTGTTCATGTTTGGTACATTTGCCACCTTCCGCCGTTCAGGCTTCGGGTGTTTCTCTCACACGCCTACATTTCAATTCACGCAGACAAAAGTTCCCAACCAACCAATCAAGCATCCGATTCACTCCGGCAGGAGAACTCTAAACTTCGACACCGCCAACGCCCGCCACTGGACACGACCCTGAGCCAGCTGCGTCCTCACAACTTACTTCTCTCCGATCCGCGTTAATCGGATACTCACGTCCCTTACGAGCGCCCTAAAAGACTTCCCTACCAAAACTCTAAAAGCACATTCCTTCTTCATCTCTCCCATCTCATGCGCGTGCCCAATCGGGAGGTCTCGGGCTTAATTGTCTGCCCGGAGACCGGCTAACCTAAGCGAGTATTTCGTGACTTTGCGCAGCCCCTCCAGGAAAATTCCGGGATAGAATCTTAAATTAGGCCACGACCGCTTCCTTCCACGCCGTTTTAAATTCACTATTAACTGTCATCTAATGACCTGAAGTTACATAGTTCAAATATTGAAAGCATCGTTCAGTGAACTATTTTATTTATTATTTAGTGTTCTGTCTGACGACAGGTCCATATGAACAGGATCCTTCCATCCTTTTCTCGGACTGGGACCTGTTCATATACGTTCTTGGCAGATGATCCAGAAGTGGTTTGCCATTGCCTTCTTCTGTGTGTGAATGGAGTAATTGTTGGGATGCGACGGAGAAACCGGGGAAGCCCCCGGAGGAAAACTCCGTGTTGCCTAGACCACGGCCTTGCCCAACACAAGTTATAAATTCGGGCACCTCAGTGAACTATAAACAAATAAATAAAAATGCCTACCAATTGCATCTCATACATTTCGGTAACCTAAGTGGCCTGTATGTATGACGGAGGTCCTAGACATGTAGAACCAAAATCTACCTAATTAAATGGTGAGATGCGGGATGTCACACCGTGTAGCCTGGTTGATATTGGCCGACGTTTCAGAGCAGATTACTGCCTCCTTGCTCATTGTCCCTGAAGAAACGTGTATATTTTTATACTGGATAAATAATTTACATCCAACCGTTCAAGCGAAAAGCCAGGCTCGATTTTTGTTTAGGAACAGCATTCATTTTTTTCCTGCTCTGAACCTTGTACCTAGGCAATTTCAGATCGAGCTGCGTGGAGGAATCTTGGTAGAAGTTAAATAAGGGTTGGTGCTCCTAATGAACTCCCATCTACTTCAACCCTTAGTTCTTTTATTTCCGCACCCCTTCACCTTCTCATTTATAATAAGAACCCAACTTTATAAGCAACTCCCACCCCAAACATCTTCCACTTCTCATCCCCATCCAATCATCAGAAATCCAAGAAACTCGTATTTTTTCTTCTCATTTTTCTTTCCCCCATGCAGACTCTGTGTTGATCTATTTCGACGGACTGCGAGTTCCCTTTACATGCACATCAGAACGGCGAATCGCAAATGGCCTGAAATTATTCATGACAGAACACGAGTGGAAATGAGTATCCCATTTTATTGTACATATTTTGAAACCGACAGCCTTCTGGGTCATTGACGTGTAGTCTCGTAGAAGTTTACCGACGTTTCGTAGGTACTTACTGCCCCCATCATCAGAGCGATAAAATGTTTAGGCTGTGCAATTTAAGGTAAAATGATGTCGACTGAAATTTACAATAGAAACTGGATAAAAATGTAACCGATTCTAAAGTTCGTCACTTATGAACATCAGACGACCCCAAGGCCTTGAGATCACGGGAGTACAGACCATTCAAATTCTTTGTTCAATTTTCGATCATATATGGACAGATTAACAAGACTGGGTTGTTTTAAAACAGCCTGGAACTGCTTTAGAGCATACGAGACGGGTCTACACAATTGTTTGAAATGAGACAGTATCCAGTTGTAGATATGAGCAGAGGGAATTTGTTCTCTATTACGATTAAATAAATACATAAATGAGAGACGATATAAAAGTGAAGACAAAGATTGAAACAAAATTAAATTAGGGCAAAGACAGATTTGTCGTGCTTTTGTGAAGATGGTGGCGAACCAATGGATTATAAAAGGACGTCGACTTGTTTCATAGATAGATAGTAACTTATGAAATAAGACGCTGCACCATTCTGCAAGCTAGTTAAGTAGCTAGCAATAAGACTCAGTAAGATTCTAGTTGGTAACTGACTGCAATATCTTTCATTCTGCTGAGATATAGCGTTTTCACGGCAGTGAACAAGTTTCTGATCTTTTGGAAGTTTAGTATATAGGCCTTCCGCCTTTTTATGTATGGAAGTTTCAGCGTACATAAAACAAATCACAATTATCACTAGTGCGCATGTACAACCCGTTAATGACGTCAACTTTCATTACACGTGCGGCATATTTCAGGCCGTATTTATGGTCCATTGTGCTGTGTAGAAGCTTTATGTAGGTTAACCTTTCGTTATGCTACAATGGAATCTCCCAACTCTAAAAATAAGGAAACAGAACATTTACGTTTTTCCGGCCAGATGCACTGGTATGTTACACAGAACAGCTATGTAAGAAATAATCCCAGTTTATAGACGATTTCTCTTTTGCAACAGGGGTGGTAAAACATTTCTCGTGCGACTCTAGAGACAGTTCAACATAGATACGTTTTATATTTAGTGAAGTCAAAATTGGTCTTGCTTCGTATTCGGATAATGTCTTAATTAGCATTGTGCACTTTATCCGTTCTCACTATAACATGCTTAACTAACCAACTAACTTACCGGAGCAGAATCATTCCTGAAAAGATAATATACGCTCAGATAATCAAGAAATTCCTCAAATTTGTAAAACCGAAAAATTCATTACCCTTTTTACAAGAAACTGCCAATGACCGCTATACCAAGGCATAATTCAATTTACACCCTCAAACCTGCATCTCTAGGGCCCACTTCCACATTATCCTTCCTTCTACGTCAAGGTCCTCCGATTAGTCGCTTTCCTGTAGACTTTTAAACTATCTCTAGGAAGCAATGGCTGCGCATCTATTCGATAAGTTTCCTGTGTTTGGGCAATAAAACTCTGATGCCCTCTAAACCGCATGAGACCACAAAACCACTTCTTACAGGCTTTAAGAGACACTGGGAGGGTGGGTTGTTTGGCACGTGTACCATTTAAAAAACCCAATAAAGTGAATATTTTTAAAGAAATATTTGTAGAAAACCCAATAAATGCAGAAGTACTAACCTATTTATTCTCCCACACATATTTATTCTCGAAAACCTTTACCTCTTCTGAAACAACATGCGACAGCAACAATTACTGACATAACAATAACAATACTAACAATACACAGCTTTCTATGGTGCGTGTCGTATACACTCGAATACCGAGACCGAATATCTGAAAAGTAATATTCACTGCAGTGTACAGACCTAAAATAACCAAATAAGAACTTAATTCTGTGTAGAATCTTGCTTCCTTGTAAAATAACATCCTATTACAGCATCGTAAATATTTACTGTACGGCGCATTGCACGCCCTGACGCATCAATCAGAGCCATCTGCAAAGGATTCTACTACTAAATGCGTTGCAAATTCCACTCACATTTCATCACAAGAGACGCCACTGAACCTGTCGTCCTCTCGTGCCCTGTGGTCTTGGTGGCTGAACTCTGCCGGGAGACCTTGTTAGGGCCTCGACCCCTATAAAAAGAAAGTGGCAAACGGTCAAATTTCTTAACACTCAGACTTTACAGGCTGCTCTGGTATTGTAAATATCCCTCGTTAAATTTAGACGTCTTTATTGGTCTCGGAGTAGAATTGTAGCGAGAGAAGGTCAGGAAAGGAGCAACAGACGGACAATGACGTTGGCAGTACAGCTTATGACGGATCTTCGAGTATCCTGACAAGTATTTCTTTGTATCGCGAGGCGAATACGTGGAATCAACTTAAAGCAGAATACGGTCGACTTTTTGTAAATATTTACGCATTTATTTCTTCCAATGCTAATGTATCTGACGTAACTCTAGTATTTGGAATCAAAACAGCGTCATTAAATATTCTATCAGTTAATCAATCCCATACTTTATAACGGTGAAAGGCGACGCGGACTAAAACCTACCTCTCGCCATTAGATAATTATTATTAGCCATATTCATCCATGCCCATATCTTCCTTGATTTAATCACAATAATAATATATAGTAAAGAGTACAGATTGTGAAGATTCTAACTGATCAATTTTCAGACCCACACTACATGTCCGGTCTTTTTGACTTTGTCACCTTAATAATACTTGAAATCCTGTTTGTGACCCTTCCTTAGATCTGAATATTGTCTTAAGAATTTTGTTTTCAGACGTACTCAGTGTTACTTACATACAAAGACTACGTTTCACAACCATACACCATGAAACAAGTGTTAAAATTAGTCCCGTGTCCTTCAGGCCTTTAGAGAGGACAACTGAAATATCCCGAAGTTGTACCGCTCTCCGACGCTAAGGCTCCTTCACTTTTCACCCCTGAAGCGCCTTCAAGGTCTTGACTAGTTTATTTGCGGTTAGGTTTGTACTGATCGGAGAAATTTTTATTGCTCATTCACGTCAAAACCTTCGAACGAGAGTAAAGAAGAAAGAATTGAAAGTTTCCTTCTATAATCTGCCCCTCCCATTGAAGAACAACAAGACAGGGAAAGTATCCCCTCATGAAAAGTAAGTCACTGACCCCAAGAATATAACCTGGAGCATGAAGCCCACCTGGCGATGCCAGAGTTCGGGAACTGGCCGGAGAAACTCGCACATCGGAGTTTCATATATTTGGATTGCCAACCGCGGGTTGAAATTCTGGTTGTACTACAAGATAGCCACTTAGCAATTATTCAGTTTGTGTTAGTTTTAAATGTTAAATCCTGGCAAAAACGGTCAGCGCCTCTAATAACGCCAAATGAGTTAAAGACAAGTATGGAGGCTTTGAGGATGGAGATGAAGCTCCACGAATTCTAGACCTCTGCACTACACTAAGTTGAGGGGTCTCCTTCGGGGTCCTGGCCCTTTACAGTACAGGGAAATAACACCAAATGCACACCGGATAGGGCGTTCGGTGGGCACTGTATTCATCTGGAAAATGAGGCGAGGGACCCTTATCGAAATCGAAAGTTAGTCGCGTAGCGGCTAAACTTGCTTAGCTGTACAGTTACAAAGAGTCAGCGGTCAATGGAACACTTTATTCAGACGAGGGCTGACAAAAGCTCCAACATGACATTTTGAAGAAGAAAAAAGTCGGTTCGTGTCCCCCACACTACTGTGTGCCACATAAAAACGGAGAATATTCGAGTTCATGGAGCGGGTGTAATTGTAAGTGTTTATATGCGGGACTACCGGATTAAATGTTCGAAGTTCTCACTGGACCGATTCCATCATTCATTTTGATTTTATCTCTCATCACCAAAACATCTAGTGTTTTAACATTCTTCATCCACAATTCTATGCTGATTTTAAGCATTCACTCCTAAACAGTATTTAAGAAAAATTTGTGTAAATTACATATCCCATATGTGTAATTATTTGTATTTAATTTTTCAAATCAATGAACCATTTTAGATTTACAAGAAAAGTTACGTACATACTGCATGAATTAAAATAAGTACAACAATACGCCTGAAACAAATTAAAATTAATCGGTAAATCAAACTAAATTCCAGGCAGTAATTTGGTGACTAAAGTAAAACGACCCTGAGTAACAAAGGAAGGGCATAAATACGGCGTCGCGAAGCCACCCGACGCCATGCAGAAACTTCTACGTCATCACGTTTCAAAGAAAATATTGCAGCAACGTGGAACGGAAAAGGGGTTCCTCTTTTTCACCACCAAGAGAGGGTAGCAGCTCCAAGACAAGGGATGAAAGAGCTGTAATGAAAAGTCTAGAGAGAGAAGAACAGTACCCCCTGAAGCGCTCCACCTTTGCTGCCTGGTAGTAATGAGAAGCCAAGTCTGGAAGTAACCGGAGACGCACAGATGTGGGGGTGCCACAGATACAACACTGCAGAAGGCAGTAGTCTTCTCTAGCACAGCCAACAGCGAATGCCTTAGATTGTGCGTCTAAGTAACTGATCTAGTAAACGTCTTCTTCAAATAGGGGATTTAACAAGGAACTCTGTGATATTTGAGGTTTACACGGAGGTAAAATGAGGAGTACGGTCATGTGGGTTCTAGCGCCGAGCAGGATTGCTAGTGATTTACTAATTTTGCCTAGTAGTTATACAGTTACCGTATTGGAAATTACTGTTAAATGGATATGAGGTGGATGTGGTGATAAGATTTGCGTACAGATTATTGGTAGGTAGGTTTAGGCGACCTTTCTGGAAGACCGAAAATGAGATGGGAGGCTAGAATTAATAAAGAACGGGAGGTAAGTGTTAAGTGTAGCTGGATCAAGATCATTTCCAATAGCGGGCTTTGATCAAGTCCGCACCCATTGGTTCATAAAGGGAAGGTGTGTTTATTTCAATATTGTCGCTTTTAGACAGGAGACATGAAGAGCTGATGGTAGCAATCATCTTAATTTAGAGAATATCTTCGTCGGTTTCTCAGTTCATGGAGGTAAACCAGGTTTAAGAACCACGGTCACTGATTGCTAGGCATGAAACAACTCGTTAATTCCACGAGTAAACTTCTCCGACTGGAAATTATTCGTTAAAACTATGAAACAGGAAAACTAAGAATGACTGAATAAATACACGTTCTCAGAAATTACCAATGAAATCACTCCGAATCAAGTAGGCTTAACGGTATTCCAGACATTGCAATTCATTCTGCCGGTGTCATACGTCACGCCATTATTCTGCGTCGTCGGTAGGATAAGGATGACTTCACGTGGCGAGGGGAGGCAGTTTTGGCGGAAGCAGGTTATGAGGGAGTGCGGTGAACCGGTTGCGTTTTCTCGGGAAACCTTTGTGTCCAACCAACCAGGTAGGAAGGCAATATCTGTCGACAACAAAAGAACGAATGCCTAGCGTCTCCTAGGTGACGAAACACGTCTTGCCCACAGCGCGACGCACCTTGCCAGGCCGAATTAGTTCCCCGCTGGCAACTAGTTTCCGTGCAGTTGCTCCGTGCTGGGAATAACGAAGGGAGACAACGACTGAAAATAATACACGGCTTGAGTCCAATAGTAATTAAAGAAATTACTACTAGAGCTTTCCTTCCATTCATTCAATCTGTACCCCGAGTTCTGCAACACAAATGCAACAACAACAACAACAAAAACGTGGTTTAGTGGTCAATTTTTATGATTAAATTCCATTACCACATTTCAGACTGTGTTAAGTTTGTCGCACAAACTTACAAATTTCGCATTATGGCCATCTTTATGTTGTTAAATATGTCTGTGGAACAGAGACGTTGACAACATCACGTGTTTAACAAAGCTACCGGAATGTTTACAGCTGTGATCACAAGACCCCACTATTCGATCACATCCCGAACCAGTTAACCACAATCCACACATTTATAGCCAGTTCTTTAATAATTATTATAATTATCATAATTAATTATTAAACGCCACCTAAATTGTTCCTTCTGTTCAGATTTACCTAAAAATATTAAAATTCTAATGCGCGCTACATGTTCCACCCATCTCACCCTCGACTTTGTAAATCTAATAATATTTGTTACCATATTAACGTTTCGTAGGCCATAACATTTGTAAATGACTTTTGTCTCTCGCCATACAAAATTTCATATGCCTAGCTCTCTAATGGTTCACTATTTATAATCATCAAAAAGAAAGGTGTTTTATGATAATCTGCCTAACAATTAAAATGCTATCACTAGAGGGATACGCACATAAGCAAAGTACCCTTCTATTTAACTTTAATTACAGCATAAAAAACAATTATTTACCAGAAAATTTCGTAGTGAATCTCACCTCTTACTGACCTATACGACACATTTCTGACACGATCTTCTTCAACATAAAAATCTTGAAATCTAAACCAAAGCAGAATAAGGATAAGAACAGAGGTACTCCTACCGATTCATGCTCGCTGTCATTTCCAAGAGCATTCTCGTTGTAAGACTTGAGGTTCTCACAGCGCAATAACCCAGAAGACAGAAATCTTCAGCATTCTCGTTCATTCCCTGGTTTTTAATAATAAAGTACTTTAAATGATTCAACTGAATCTCAGCGTTCATCACGATTTTCTACTTCACAGGGGTTCCAATTCCGAAAACTGAAAGGCTGCAAGAGGAAGACTGCAGCAAACTCAGGCTTAGGAGGGAAGGGAGTTGGGAGGTCGCGGGCGGAGAGGGGGGGCATGCCGCCTCCTGAATCTCGTTATTTGAATTATCGGCGTGGAAATGATTCAAATAAATTCATCAGAGAAAATGTTACAACGAAGTAACATGGCTAGCAAGAGAACTGTGTGTGTGTGTGTGCTGTTATACACGACACAAAGGAGACAGAACTACG